CAATCTACTTTAACGGCTCACATATAAAATGTTAGAAGCACCAATATACCATAATATAAAATGGTCATATCGCTGATATAAAACCATTACTCCAATGTTAGAAATAAACATGCCATTTATTTTACAATCTTAGAGTTAAACAGCTCCTTACTGCCCGATTTTATTTTCTTACGTGAAAAAGTGATACGTTAAATGAATAATTGTAATTAAATAATATAATCACATGATTATCTTTTTAGAATTTTTTAATATGCTTCAGGACTACCCTGATTCTTTCACTCAAATATTGACACGTGAATTATTATTTTTTTCTCTCCTGTCTCTTCAATCTATATATTTTCTTTTTTTTTCACCTCAGTCTCACTCAATTATTTTTGCTCCCGAAACATAATAACTTCACTTTCTTTATTTTACGTAAGAGAATTCAAATCCAAACGACACACCACTTCACTTCGTTTGGCGGAAATGCTTAATCCAAATTGGAAAGATCTCATGGGATTATAGGGTGTACGAGCAGGACCCGGTAAGAGATTGTGTAGGAGTAGATAGATCTTAGGCTCGTATATACCACACACAAGATTACGAGATGCTATAATCTCATACACACACGTCCCATTCTCCATGTATAGCAGATGAGACTAGGGGTCACTCTTTTGGACTCTTTAAGTTGTCGACATCACCTAATTCAAATTTGTTATATTCATAGCTAGAGGACCAACAGGGTGTGGTGTCCTTCCGTAGCTAGTTTCCCTAGTTAGTTCTCGTGTTCGTTTTTTCCACTGGACCAAAAACTTGCTATATTCAACGTCACTAATTTCTGAGATAAGATGTAACATTAGCAACTTGCGATGACACTGTTTTACGACCAGGAGGTTGATGTGATAAGTTCCTAGTTCCTACGGAGGCTCCCCATAAGCCACGTTTAATGCGGGATTAATTAATAGTATACAAGCATGAGGAGACGCAATAAAAGCGAATTAAGTCTAAGAAATAGGAAATGAATTATACTTTTGGGTGTTTTGTAAGGAAGATCTTATCATCTTCCTCCAAAGATATCAAAAGAGATCATGTTCAATGGTTATAGGTACGTGTAAGAGTCGCAGATCTTTTTACATCCTACCAAAATATAAAATAAAATAAAATCAATAAACCCAAACCCAATTTGTTTTTAAACTCCTGGGGTCTATTTGAATGAGTTTGTTTTTCTTTCAAAAACTATTTTTATTTTTTAAAAAATCTTCTAATTATAAATAATTATTACTATTTCGATTTTTTTTTTAAATGTGCTACAAAAAAGTTAAAATCATATTTTTTAAACTAAGTTTTTTACGTTTATACAAAGTAAAATTAAAAAAATCAAATATATTAATTTCGATCCCAATCAATTTCACATTCATCGTCCCCTACCGTTATGGATTCCGCCGCCATCAAATCTTGCTTCATAATTTATTTTCACATGACATTTTTTATTATTTTATATTTAAAAAAGTACAATTCTAATATTTAAATATTTTTAATTAAAAATATTTTTCACGAATTAAATTCAAATATAAAATAGCTTTTAAGTTAAAAATAAATTTTAAAATAGATAAGGCCTAATTTATTTTTGTATTTTTGCAAAAGTCCATTAACAAAAACAAAGCATGGTGCACCTCAATCAAACTATCAAACTATGCTTAGAAGTTTTTAGTATACATCAACTTAATTCCCCCCCCCCCCCCCCCCCCAAAAAAAAAAAAAACTACAATAACGCAAAAACATCTCATGATTAATTCGATAAGGTTTTTGAAATAATTTTTTTTTTTATATTTTGTTTCATTAAACAGTACTTAATATGTGAGATTAATATTTACTCATATGTTATGGTTATTCTAATTTACAATTTTTTTAAACTCTCCACATTATAAAAACTCTTTAAGTGTGAAATTAGGGATATTTTACCAATAAAAATGTTTTCAAATGGCAAGAAGTTATTTCCCTTAAAAAGAAATTTCGAATTTGAATTGTAAGCATGAAGAATATAATCTTAAAAAAGTTACACTATATAATCCGTTTATGCTGGAACCGGTTGATAAATAAAAAGGAATATTTTTAATTTAGTTTGATTCATTTTAAGGTAAAAAGTCTTCTGAAACAAATATATTATTATTTTTATATTGAAAATCAATCAATTTGCTTATAATTTGCAAATTTTTAATTTAAAAATGATTTTTGTACTCTTGAAATTATAAAGACCCCTTAAATAATAATTAAGAATGTTTTAGTTTAGTTTGATTCACTTTTTATTACCTGAATCAAGTAAAACAATTTTTATATATTACAAATGATTCAATATGCTTATATTTAGATAAACGAACCAAACCTATCTTATTGGGGTATTAATTTATTTTGGTTCTTCTAAAATGTTTCATGAATCATGACTAATATTGTTGTGTTAATGTATTATAACATTTGTCAATGTTTTGCTGTCATTAGCATTGCCGTACTAATTTATATGAAAAATTTGTTCAATCATGAAATTTGTATATTATCACATTACTGTGTGACTTAACTGTTGTTTGATTACGGCTTTTTGGCATTAACAATGAAAATAATGATAATAAAAACAGCGCGACGATACTTGCAAATTATTCGCGGACCTAATGAAGTTGAAACATGGCATAACTCGTGTGTGTATCATAAAAAATACAATTATTATTATATAAATTTTATTGAATCAAATAATAATTAATATAATAAATTATTTTTATTTTTCTATGCAAAAATCTTCCAAATAAATAAAAAATTAATTTATATCAATAAAAATAATTTTATTATTTTTCTTCGTTTTACTAAATAAATAATTTAAGTTGAATAAATGATATCATGATTTCTTAAATGGTATAGTTAACGGTGAAACAATTCATTTTTATGGTATTTTTTTTTACATAATCAATATAACATGCTAATGTTTTATTTTTAATACATTCAAAATGTGAGAAATTAAGAGAAATTTATGCTTAAATAGACAAAAAATTTGGTCACTTGAGATCATTATCAAAATCTACTTCTCTTACAACATAAGTTTCTTTTGGTTTCTCACACCTGGAATATATTAAAAATAAAACAATAGCAGGATATATTGATTCGTCAATAAAAAGATAGAAACATAACAAATAATCATAATGTTTCACAAATTAATTTATCATTCAAGAAATAATAAATTATTCACTCTCCTTCAATAAACTTAGCACTAATTTATAATAAAATATTACATGTGAATATTGAAATAGGAGGAAGGAGGATATGGGTGCGATGTGCGAAGCAGACTATATATTAGCATGTAACAATGGCAAGAAAGCTAGCGTATGAGCTGGTATGCTAGACCAATTTGCTTACATCATCTGACTTTTTTTTTTTTTTTTTTTCTAATCTCAATAACATTTCTATATATTGTACTTCGTGTGTTTTGCTCAGAAAAATCTCGTGTCCCTTTAGTCTTTTCGTGCAATTTATTCACATATCAAATAGTTTCTCCCATTGGTAATACTCTTTACTATCAATTACATATTATAATTCTTATGTTATAATCAATAATTAAATTAACTAAGAAAAAAACCGTCCTTGACACAGTAGCATCCGTACTCCACCGCTTAAAATAAAGATTGTTAGGTCAGCAATTGTTTTTTCTTTTATAGATCGGTTAGTAGAAGAGAATTTATTTTTTTTTGTCAAGAATCTCTATTTTAAAAAATATAATGAAAATATTCCGTTTACGATAATATTCGAAAATTAATAATTTAGAAAAATTCAGTTTTGCGAGAATCATGAAAAATACCTCCTACCAAACGGCCCCTAAGGTATGTCAACAATTGTCTCTCCGCGATATTTTTAGGGGAAGGATATACTTACCACCAAAAAAGTTTACCACTTTTACTATCAACTTAATCACCGTTGATTTCTGTTAATCTAACGGTTATAATTTATTGGATTGTATTTATTAATTAATTTTTAATTTTTAATAAATCCAATAAATTATAACTGTTAAATTGACAGAATTTATTAAATTAGTGGTAAATTTTTTTAATGCTAAGTATATTCTGCCCATATTTTTATATAAAAAATAAGCCTAATCGTAGAATAAAAATATATAAATAGAAGAAAAAAAAGAAACGGGAGGTAATTTTTCTTTTTATGATACTCGTTTAAAAAATATAAGTGTAAAAAATAATATTTATCTTATATAATGTAAAAAAAATATTACCCAAAATAATAATTACACGTTACTTTTTTATCTCACATTTCTTACAAAGAGGTGATAAAGTTAGAATAAAAATATATAAAATTGGGATGAGACCATAAAAACGCAAGTGAAACAGACGAGTATCGGAACCAGTTGCCAAATCGTAGTTTTGACCTTCAAACCAGTGCTCAGAACTCGGTACCTGAATTTACCCACTCTTATGCTACTGGCTGTTGGGTGGTTCACGCGCGAAAGCATATAAGTGGACCTCACGCGCACGCGAGAATCGCGTACGTTGTTTCAAACCTGGGGTTTAAATTCCAGAAATAAACGAAGTTAGTTGTTTTACTAGCAACAAATTTAACCGCTTTTGAAACAAACTCAAGCATATATTTAGAGAGGGTAGGTTACTTTACTCTCTCCCTTCTATACCTCCCTCTCATTCCCTCCTTTTTTCCTTAATAAAACAAACAAAAATAAAAAAGAGAGAGTGTTCAAAATCAAAAGCGTGCAGACAAGGGAGAAGCATTTGGTTGGCAGTACAAAAAAAGAGCCAATTCCATATTCACAGCATCGACAACTCAGGCACGACGACGGTGCGGATCTGGGTCAACGTCATTTGACCAATATAAACGACAACGTCAGGGCTGTTTCTGTAATTAAGTACTTCCCTGACCCACTTTAACATTTCCTGTGTTGTGTCTGGTTAAAACTGTATATATATATATTTTTAAGAGGTTTTTAAAACCTTCGGCTGTGTCGTTGCTGTTGTCGTGGTCTGGGGTCAAGGCCTTTGTTGGGTTGAGAGACTCACATCACCGATCTTATATATAACTCGTTGCTTTGGTTATTTTATTTTCCTCTTTATTTCTCAAGCTAGAGATAGAGAGAGAGAGAGAGAGAGAAAAAAAAGATAGAGCGGATTAGGGATATGAGAACGAGGAGAGGGGCGTGTTATCCTGGACCTGGAATAGTGACGAGGATGTGTTCCGATGTTGGGGTTGTGAAGAGAAAGAAGAATATAAACATGCATGTGACGACGGAAGACTCCTTTATTAGCCGGAAAAAGCAGAGGAAATGGCCGGAAAAAACCGCCGGAGAATACGATTTTTTCGAGTCTTTGCCGGATGACCTTGTAATCTCTATCTTCTGCAAGCTTAGCTCAACTGCAACTTCCCCTTCCGATTTTGTCAATGTTTTGATAACGTACGTTACTAAACAACACACTTGCTCCTCTCGCTTGTACATTTTTTTTTCCATTTTTTATTCTCTGTTCTGTAACGTTATTGGGGATTTGTTTGTTTGACAAGAGTTGTGGTTTTTTGTGGAACAGGTGTAAAAGATTAAACAGTTTAGCACTCAATTCTCTTGTATTATCCAAAGCCTCCCCAAGAACTTTCTCCATTAAAGCCAAAGATTGGTGTGATTCCGCACATCGCTTCCTTAAACAGTGTGCAGATGCAGGAAACATTGAGGCATGTTATACTTTGGGCATGGTTAGTACTAATTACTCTAAAATCGAAATATAATTTTTTTTTTTTATTTGTCAAAAAATTGAATGGAAAGTGTTTCTATTGTGCAGATTCGGTTCTACTGTTTGCAAAACAGAGGAAGCGGGGCTTCGTTTATGGCGAAGGCGGCGATAAGTTCTCACGCGCGGGCTCTGTACTCGCTTGCGGTTATTCAGTTCAACGGCAGCGGCGGTTCAAAAAGCGACAAGGACCTCCGTGCCGGTGTGGCTCTCTGCGCCAGATCAGCCTTCCTCGGCCACATCGACGCGCTGCGCGAGCTTGGCCACTGCTTGCAAGACGGTTACGGCGTTCGACAGAACATCGTCGAGGGCCGGCGTTTCCTCGTCCAGGCCAACGCACGGGAACTCGCCGCCGTGCTCTCTGCCGGCGGTGCCGCGCGCAACTTGCTGAAGTGGAACCACCGGCATCTCCGGCAACTTGCGGGGTCTGGGTGCCCGTTGCTTAGTGATTTCGGATGTAACGTGCCGGCGCCGGAGGCCCATCCAGCGTGCCGGTTCATGACGGAGTGGTTCGCGTCTCGGGGCGGGTCTCCGGGGCCGGGTCTCAGGCTCTGCTCGCATGCGGGCTGTGGTCGGCCAGAGACGAGGAAGCACGAGTTTCGCAGGTGTTCGGTGTGTGGCGCGGTGAATTACTGCTCACGCGCGTGCCAAGCGCTTGATTGGAAGTTCCGGCATAAGGCGGAGTGCTCCCCCGTGGAGCGGTGGCTCGATGAGGACGACGAAGACGCTGGCGACGAAAACGACGACGGCGATGTCGAGGTGGATAGTTAGACAATTTTTCGAACAGGTAATGGCCATTGTAACGGTAACGGGAACGGGAATCTGTTTGGACGGTTAGAAAAAATCTATTTTTGTTGAGGTGTATGAGAAATTAAATATGATTTATTCGGCCGTCTCAAAAGGTAGATAGCAAGGCTTCCTTTTTCTTTTTTCTTGTATAGTGGGAAAATTCTCTTGAAAAATGAAGGGGATTACTTGTGTTTTTTGTTCTCTTTTTTTGGTGCATTCATCACAGTTTAATGTTAATTAGAATTTAAATTATTGAGCATAATTTATTATCTCAAATTAATCTACTTGATACTAATTAATATTAAATAAGTGCTAACATTTATAATGTAGTGTCATATAAAAGCTTGACAGTTACACAAATCTACACTTTTTTGTTCTGTCATAACTTTTACCGAAGAAAATTGTTAACATCATAGAGTATATTTCTTTTTGCAAGTTTATCTACAATTTAAATTTACATAATTTGTTTTTCAATATTCCTTGTTTTGTTATGTTGATAAATATAATAAAATTTAAATGCAATTTGATTGATATTAGGGATTTGGTGAGCTGTACTGTATCTCTCTCTTGATCTAATGCGGCCCCATCAGATTTGTTTGAGAAACAAAGTAATCGACAATTTTTTCTTTCTAATAACAGACATCCTAAGGTCTACTACCGTTGATCTCTGTGATTCAACCATTTGTTAGTAGCTTCAAGAAAATTGATAAATGAAAAACAGTGTTAACAACTTCTGCTTAACCTAACATGCTTCTAATAAATTTTTAAATTCCTAAACTGCACTTAAAATACGTCTTTGGTTAAAATTCAAGAAACATTCTCCACCGAAAATTCATGTAAAAAATATCTCTTGTACTTTAAAATTCGCTAGCATGACTCCCATATAAATGTGTATTGACCCTATCGCAGCATGGTCGGAAAATCTGTTGATAGAATCAATCCGTTTCGTAAATGTATGATGTAGTATTAGTAAGCTAAATCGAGAGGTTTTGTGTCCATAATGGAAAGGACTTCCTCAATTTTAACCTACTTTATTATAACTCAAACAAAGTTGTACATAAAAGATATGCAAATGACGTGAAACCATTATATATCTACAAGTATTGCTCCTACAGAACACACTTTTATCTAGCTTTAATTATGGCCTCTCTTTTTTTATGGTCAAAAGTGATCAGATATATCTAGCGACTGACCAATATGCAACCAGAAAATATGCAAAATAAAGAAGCAGGCGAAACATGCAATTTGTAAATTGCAAGTTGGAGTATGTTGGTCTGCGATATGTGCATATCATATAGAGTGGTTTTGAACATGCTTACCTGGCTGGAGTTCTGGACATATAATAAGCCTAACATAAAAAATAAAAAAGATTCCATTTATGACATAAATTATTAATGTCAAATGGGGAAAACAAAATAATTTAATGGGTTTAGCCGTTTAGGAAGAAGGTGAGGAAATGGTGGGAGCGCATTCATTTCTTTCTGCAATGCTCATTATTTATTCCAGTTGCATTTAAACCCTACATAAGTGAATGGGTGGTCCAAGCCCAGTCCAATAAGTAGGCCCACTATCAGGAGTTCTAGTTGTTGAATTATTGACAGTAATTAAAAATAAATTCATAGATTGATCTTCTTAAATTAGAAATTTTAAACCTGTTCAACTAGACTTTGTTATGAACAAATAAAAATATGAAAGAGACTTAAGTTTTATCATTCAATTTTGACTCGGACAGCTTCAGAATTAAAACAAGAAATAACCTCACATTCCTGTGGGAGACCTAGCAAGACAAACGAAAATAATAATAATAATCAGATTGGGAGAACCGAGATGTTAGGTGGTGCAATGCTGCTAACTACCATTATTTTATTGATAGTGTCGACGATTTATTTAGAAGCTTCCACCAGGGGTAGAAGGCATTGATTTTTATTTTTTTAAAAGTGAGGGATTTGTTTTAGAGAACAAAATGTAGGATTGATATCGTTTTAGCCAAAAATTTACAGTTAAAATTTTAATAAAATACATGTAGATATATATCAAACAATAAAATTAATAAAATATTTTTTTAAAAAAATTAAATAACAAATAATTTACACTTTGTTTTTAAAATTTTCCCTCACTTTATTGAATTGCGAAAAACATAGTTCTGCCTTTGAATTGAGAATGAGTTTCCTTATTTTTTTAAATAAATGTCCTAAAACAGGTTATATGATAAAAGTATTTTTTTTTCTATCAAAGTTTATCCAAACACACAAAAAGAGGAGAAATTTGGCATTAAAGTCATGCTTAGATAAGTTTATTCTCAAACTTGTTTAAATTTCTTTTTCATTAGAATAAGTACTTTTGGAACCTTTGAAGCTTACATAAATAATTTTAGACTTGTAATATTTTATTCTATACTTTGACAATCCAGGTTGGAATCCTGAGCTAGTACAAAAGGAGATTAATCTATTACTTTGATCGGAAAAAAAATAAAATAATTGAGTTGATTTCTTAAAATGTTCGAGGAAAACAAAATAGTCTTTTCTGTATATAAGGTGGTGTTTGGTTGGGGAGAAGTTAAAACTTTGGTGGCAAAGTGGGAGTGGGATTCTTAGCCAACCACGTTTGGTTGAAGTTTTGTTGCCAATTTCCCCAGCAAAGAGGCTTCCCCTGCAATCGAAGAAGAAGAGTAAAAATTTGATATGGTCACTGTTGAAGAAGCCGATTGAAAAGGTGGTATTGGTTGAGGGAATCGGATAAGTGAAAAAGGTTGAAAATACAATGACAAATATACCCCTCTTTCCTAACCACACATTCACTGATATCCAGAACCATCTATCATTTGACAAACACACGAGCAAGGGTTGCAACATTTATCAGTCATCGCGTCAGGTTCGTTCGAAGTGAAGCTCTCGTCCCTCTACCACCGATTGCTCAGGTTGCTGTTATTTTGTCACTGCCTTGGTAACACTGTTCCGGTAAGATTTTTCGAAGTGGTTGGACTCATCCTCTGTTATTAAGTTGTGGGTCATTTTTTGCAAACACAAAATGGATGTCCTGGTCACCTTTAACTTTGTTTGGGTTGTTGGTCAAATTATGTGCATTACATATCCGAGGAAAAGGCTGTGGTTTATCTAGTTATACTGATTTAACAAAATGATAATGGGTCAGTTTCTATTCTACACTAACGGTCGAAGTTTTAGTTCACACTGATAGGGTATATAGTGAGATATAATTTTAATTTTTTTAAACAACTTGTAATTAGCATTAATATATCTGAATGGAGTGGTAAGTCCCATTGCGTTTTCATGCTGAAGCTAAGTAAAAAATAGGTGTCATCTTTTATTCTATTATCATTTTGTGATTTGTGATTTGTGATTCTGTCGTCATTTTGAAAAAAGATCCCTTAAAAATAGCATCACGATATAAATGAGCATTTTCTGTCCCATTGCCATTGCCATTGTAAACTTTGCCATTTTCTCATTTTCTGTCCCATTGTGATTCTGTCCCATTGCCATTTTCTCAATTTCTGATTTTGTGATTTCTCATTCTGTCATCATCTTTTTAATGGCCCACAAGCTGTTAGTTGGTATTGTAATCTGGAGTAACCACTACTTGGAATCTTTGGAAAAGTAGCATCACGATATAAAAATGGAGAAATTTTAAATGTTGGGCAAAAAGTCAGAGAAATATGGGATGGTTCTTTGTGTTGCCTACTCCATTCATTAATTTAAAGCACAGTAGGTGATCAGTTTAGTTATTTTCACCTCGGACAACAGAGTAAAGGGAGACAACAATAATGGGCCGAATCAAAGGGCTAGTGAGGGCCATATTTTTGATTGGGCATACCCCAAAAATTGAAAATTTTCATTGACTGTCGCACCCATCCCACAATCTTTGTTGCCATCAGAGAGTCCACCAAAAGGGCTAGTAAAAGGTCAGGTAGAACTTCCACTTTGAGTAGTTCATGTTGATGTAGGTCACCTCCAATATATCTAGTTTCTTTGTAGGGCTCCTCTAGGCTATTGGTTCAATGTCTTTCATTCAGATTCCACTCTCCTGCACTTTGTAGTTGCTTAATAAGAATGAGAAACCATGCACGTTACATAATTTAGTAATACAGGGTCTTAAGCACATGACTTTTGGGGTTTTCAGCATCAATTGATAGTCGTGATTGTTGGATATATCACCTATTAGGTTTCTATTTTTGCATGCAGCTGAATTGATGTTACACTGAAATTTCGCCTATTACAACTATTGTAGTTGTTACAATGTGTATTAGAAATACCTATTCGGTGAAAGTAATACGTATTTGTTTGGTTAAATGCTTTTAATGGTTATGCTCCACACTAGTATGTTATGCTTTATCTGAAATACAGCCCCCTGTTATGTCCATAGTTGATGGTACATGATATTTGTTATGATAAAATATAAGGTTTTTAATTTTTGTATTTTGTATGTTAGATTGTGGCAATGAACAATGGAATGGAAGTTAGTGTGGTTGTTGTACTGATTGCTCATCTGGAGTGTATGCAACAATTGATTTTGTTGTTATTTAGTATCTGTGCGATGTTATTACACCATAACGATATCAGGAGAAATAGAAGGAGGAGAGTATCATGGAACTTGTTTAATAGGGCTAGGGTTAGGGAAGTCAACTTCCATAGAATAGTCCATGCAAGTGACAGGGCTTGTATTGAGAATACAAGGATGGACAGAAGGGCTTTCCATAAACTGTGTTACTTGGTGAAAAGTGTTGGGGGGCTGCAGCCGACTAGACATATGGGTGTTGAAGAGATGGTATCAATTTTTCTACACATTCTAGCCCATGATGTGAAGAATAGGATAATTAAAAGACAGTTCATGCGATCTGGTGAAACCATAAGTAGACAGTTCTCCAAAGTGTTGCTATATGTCATACGGTGTCATACACTTTTATTTAAACGACCAGAACCAGTTCCAGAGAACTCGACTGATGAGAAGTGGAAGTCGTTCAAGGTCAGAAACATTTCTATACGTACTGTTACATTTAAACGTACATATGCTAATGTCCATTGTATTTGGAATTGTGGTCAATAATTTTTTAGTTGGTTAATTATCAGAATTGTTTGGGAGCACTAGATGGGACACACATCAAGGTCTATCCCTTGCAAGCCGAAAAGGCTAGATACCGGACTAGGAAGGGTGAGATAGCCACCAATGTGTTGGGGGTTTGTTCCCAAGATGGTCAGTTTATTTATGTTTTGCCTGGATGGGAGGGTTCAGCTGCAGACTCAAGGGTACTCAGGGATGCCATCTCTCGTCCGAACGGTTTAAGGGTCCTTAAAGGTAATATGCTTCCAGGTTTATGTTGTTGTAATGTATTGTAAGGTAATTAAAATTTTTTCAATCCCGATCATAGGATAATTTTTGGATGTTGTTTGAATGTTGTAGGATACTATTACTTGTGCGATGCTGGTTACATGAATGGTGAAGGTTTCCTCATTCCATACAGAGGTCCGAGATATCATCTGAGTGAATGGAGACACGGGGCACACCCAAGAACCGCACAAGAATTCTTTAATATGAAGCACTCTTCTGCAAGAAATGTCATAGAACGATGCTTTGGAATGCTGAAGGGTCGTTGGGCTATTGTGCGATCAAAGTCTTTCTATCCGGTTAAAACTCAATGCCGAATAATTATCGCATGTTGCTTGCTTCATAATCATATACGAAAAGAAATGGATGTGGATCCTCTTGATGATGAAGAAGTGGATCAAACACACGAAGTAGATGCTGATCTTGGAGGAAATGACTTCATCACTCACATTGAGTCTTCTAATGCATGGACTGTTTCAAAGGATCAAATGGCGAATCACATGTTCAATACATGGAGGAATCGCGTTTGATTTCCAATTTTAGAGCAGACTTTGAAAATGATATGACTTTATGTGTACTAAGTGTCATTTGTGGACATCAAAACTGAAACAGTAAAATGTGTTTATGTTGTAATGTTATGTAATAGACTGCTTATTTTAATATGTCGTATTGAAAGCATGGAAAATGCTATGTTGCTATATTTATGTGAACCCTTAATTTAAGTGTCCAACAGTGTTGTACAGTATTTTGCTGAAATGGTTCCCACTTTATTCATGAATTTAGTTTACTATGTTTTTTCATGTTTCACAGATATAATCCAATAAAGAACCAGGCACCATGGCTGCAGACAGCCAACAGTCAACTAAACGCATTAATCATCAATGGACTGCAGAAGAGGATAAAGTCCTCGTAGAGTGTCTTAGTGATTTAGGTTTATGTTGGAAAGGAGACAACGACTTTAAGGCAGGTTATTCCAATGTCGTAGAAAAGATGATGCACAATAAGATACCAGGATGCAACTTGCGAGCTAGCCCACACATCACTTCTAGGGTGAAACTGTTGAAGAAACAATATAATGCCATCGCTGAAATGGTCGGTCATAATGGTGAGAGCGGCTTCGGCTGGAACGATACCAAGAAAATGATAGATGTTGAGAGGCAAATATTTGATGACTGGGCGAAGGTAAAGAAATCTCCATTATTATTTATTCTTTCATTACATATCTTAATGCATTTGTAATTGACACTGAAATGTTTGTAATAAATGTTGTGTGTAATTTGTGTAGTCTCATCCCAGTGCTAAGGGTCTTTACAACAAGCCTTTCCCGCACTATGACATTTTGGGAACTATCTTTGGTAAGGATGTTGCAACGGGATCTCATTCAGTGGGTGCAGACGATGTAATACGCGAAATGGAACGAGATCCTGCCATGTATGATGACAGTGGGACCCCTTTCGATGATTACCTAGACATCAGTGGTGACTATATTCCCACTCATTTAGAAGATCCTCCTATGCCTGACATCCCAGCTGAAGAGGTAGTGCAGCCAAGTAGTCCGGTTTCAACTGCATCTGCCAGAAAGGGTAAGAAAAGGAAAAAGAGTGAAGATCCTTTCTCTGTTGAAATGGTTGATGTCATGAAAGATCTAACTCAGGTATACCGCAAATCAACTGACAACATTGACAAATTGGTGTCATGCTTTCAACACCAAGCTGATGGAAGTAATAGACGAATGTCAATTATGGATGAGATTGAGAAATTTGATTATTTGCCTAGCCCTCAGATGGTTCACATAGGTGTGCAGTTTGGTAGGGACAGAGACTTGACAGACATCTTCATGCAATGCAGTGAGGAGAAAAAAAAGCAAATACTGGCAGGGATGTTGGATAACTTTGATAAATAGCTGGTTTGGTGTGACTGTTCTACTTTTTGGGTATTTTGTTGTGGCTGTGATTGTGTTTTGGTGTGACTGTATGTTATGTCAAAAGTTTTTTGTGTGACTATATGTTGTGTCAATATTTTTTGGTGTGACTGTATGTTGTGTCAATATTTTTTGGTGTGACTGTAGGTCCTTGTTGGATTATGTAAATACCACCATGTTAATGTAGGTTAAGAAGCAGCTATAAGGTCATCATATTTGCATAACATCGTAATTGGGCACACTTTTTTTGTTGGCTGATGCTGTCATGTTGTTGCCTAATGTCTGCAAACTGGTTTAACTATGCTCTTTGTGAGAGACAAAATCTGCAGGAATGGAGTCAGTATGCGCAAATATCAGGTATTACTTCTAATAAATGAGTGAGTTTGTATTATGACATAGTAGTTATCTAAGTGTTGAATTTATGTGAATATGCAGGTGTAGGGTTGTTGGATTGATATACATCGTATGACATTGGCATCTCAGTAAAGGCAGTCTTTGTTGTGGCATCAAAGCTCTGTGTCCTACAATCCAATGAAGGTCTCACATCCAGCATTGTGTTGTTCACTACATTACTTGCATCCATGTGAAGAATTAGGGAGCAGAACCCCCAGAAGATTGTGATGAACACAAGTCTCCCATTTACAAGACATACATGAATAGGCTTAATCTGTTAACCTGATATGTATAGTATAGGGATTATGTTATTACGTTTAACTGTTGATGTGTAATGGTGGGATATATACATACAAGGTGACTATATAACTTTCTGAGTAATCATGTATTGAACTAGCACAGTTAATGAATCAGTCTATGAAGCACAATCATTCTTTATTAATCTAGATTTCTTCTTGAATGTATTTAATTCAGGAAGTAGAATTCAGTAACCCAAACCAGTATTTAAATCAGTCACTATATAGCAGTTCCCTTAATTTAAATTGGAACATGCTGGTTACAAGTTTGGATGTTGCATAGAAAGAAATTGAGTTTGGTCATCTGCAAATCATGCAGTTGAACTATGACAGGCCCTCATTCAGTGAACTATCACAGGCCCCAAGAATAAATTGTTGAACAACCTGATGTCATACACGTGTGAAGCATTAGAAAGGAAATAAATTAATTATGTTCATGCATTTTGTCAATACCTAGTAAACTATTACCATCATCTGACTATCTTACAATTTCTGTTAAGAGATAAAGAAAGAAGTTGTTAATTTCTTGAAATTGTGTTGTATTTGGTATAATGAAAGTGTGTAGCCCATGATACCAATTTTTTTATCAATATAGAGTGATGACAGCAATTTAAGTAATCCACTCAGGTAGACATTGTCATGTTACAAACTAAATCATGATTCTTTTTTAAAAAAACTATGTAATTGTAACAATTATTGTTGTTCAACCCCTTCCCAAAGGTTCACAAGGTTACTAACTTGTATACATTGACTTTCAGATTTATGGTACTACAGATTGGTAAGTACCATGGAATATACAGCAATACTATGCAATTTGAAGTCATCTCATTTCAAATCTTAAACTTTCATTACCATTTACATTGTACATCAAAAGGTTTGCTACTAACAAAGGGTACAAATAGAAGTTTAAAAGGTACAACACAGCTATACTAATACAAAATGATAAATGAAACAGGTCTTTCCATCAGTACATAACTTTACAGGTACAAGAACCTATTGAATTACTACTATGCTAATGCAAACCGTGGAACCCCATTTTCCTAAACAACTTAATGATATATTACAAATGCCGTCAGAATAATCCCAAATGTTATAATAGTAATCATTTGGGAAACGGCTAATAAATTAACAAGCTTCTCGTTCTTCTTGTTAATCGTACATGTAAGGCACGACGGTTCCGCAAACCATTCGAAAAAATGGCAGTCCTCTGAGGTTCGGAAGTTACGACAGCCAAAAAATTGTCTTCCTGGATTCCTTGGCGTGGTGGACGTACGCAAAGCAGCCGGGATACCACAGTAGCACATCTTCACTATCGATGAGGATAGCGATGACGAATGCCTGGAGATCATGCTATCATTGCCCCCTGCTCCAGACCCACAGCCACCCATACTTCCTCCGTAGTCAAAGTTTGGTATGTTTCCAATAAGCCTCTCACACTTTTAGACTGCCTTGTGGGTTACTGAAACAGAGACAGAATTTAATACGATTAATAGTTCACATTGTGGTCATATAAGGATAAATAAGATAAGAAATAAAGATATACCCCATAAAGTTACAGTACTAATACTTAAAGAAAATATAAGAGAGCATAAATTGAGATAAAAAAAAGTTTGTTATTGGTCATATATATACCAATTGATTATTCTTATTATTAATAATACTTCCATTATCTATTCTTGTCTCCATTTAGGATTCATCCATTGTCAACCACCTCTGATGTAAGATAAAGATGATATTGATGTTGGTGATTGTCTTTACATGAAACACCAATTTTATTATACACTGACATATTATCTCAAGCAATATCAACTAATTGAGATGTAGGAAAAGGCAACCATGACTGTAATACCAGCAACAGATTCATAGAGTCAAGGGGACATCCCTGGAAAAGCTTGCTTCAGGCAGAGAAATTATCAACCTACTAGTTCGTGGCAGCATCCATCTAATCATACACAATCATAATTTAATATTCAACTAGATAACAAATGGGTATGTTGCCCATTTATTCAAGAATAAAGTCTTCAACTTCAATGTTCATTATTTTCAGAGAAAAGGAAAATGGACACAACTATAAGGTTTTCTTTCTTTACATAGAGCAGAGAAGTAAAATTGATAATTAACTTGACTTCTCAAATTCAAATATTATTTCACGGAGATGATTAAGCGACTGGTAACTAAATACTTAATGGATTAGTTACCTTGCGGACAACTTTTGCAGCAGCAGCTACCCCTTTGTCAATGAAGTAACCCAAACAAGGCTGCATCAGCAACTCCAACCTGTTTCACATGTCCTGGTCAGTTCATGTTTTAAATAAGAAGTAACCAGTAAAACTGACTAATTCAAGCATCAAAGAGGGAACAAACCTAGCATTCACATAGCAATTACATCTTCACAGGCTCTAAAATTACTGAGTTTATCCACCCAGCATCCTAAACACATAATTACATATGCGCTTTACAATAAATAATTATAAAATCCCTATTACATACTATTCAATTGGTCTCAAATTAGGCCTCTATTGGGTATACTGAAAAAATAAAAAAACAGAACTCAAGAGGAGGTCCCAAAAAGATAAATTTATCACCAGCCCGTGCAATTCATGGTGAACCAAATGGTAGTAATGTTCAGAAGATTGCTCAATCCAGATAAGGAACACCAATAAAACGACAACCTAAGCAACAGTACCACCACATACTATTATTTAACTTAAAATAATTATTCTATATTCCTTACAGCACTTCGAAGCTTGTTTGGTATCTAAAATTGAATATTTATATGCCATTTCACACGATCCTCTTACATGGTTCAGTCAATCATAATCTAATCAGTTATCCATTAGGATGATGTTATGGGTGAATAAAATAACTAAGAAGCTAAACATTACCAACTAGCTTAAGGGAAGCAACTATCGTATAACAAAATGACAATCTTTTGATAAGGAAAATAAATGGTGAACGCAAAATGGTGAACCAAAACCGTACCTTTGGAAAGAAGAAGAAGAACCACTTCAAGAAAGAAGAAATCAGAAGACAAGAACAAGGAGTCGAACAACCTTTGTGAAGAAGAAGTACTCAGAGAGGAAGAAGAAGAAGAAATGTCGTCATGGAAGTCGAAGCCCTAATATATGCGACAACATAAACAATGCGGACCAACCGCGTCATCTCCAACCTTGGGGTTTTCTCAAATGTCCCAGCGATTGGAACCACAATCGGATCACAGAGGTGAAAATGGAACCACAGAGACGGTGACAAAGTGGGACAGATACAGGGATACCAAACATAAACAGAGATGTGAAGATGTGGATATTGTCGTTGGCTCAATGAACTTGTTGAATAAAAGGTTATTTCAAAAAAGGGTTATTTTGTAATTTTTTTAAATTTACCCACCAATATTTTATCTTCAACCAAACACACTTTCAAAAATTATAATCAATTTTCCCGGTAAAATCTTGTCCAACCAAACAACTTTTTTTTAACTTTCCTACCAAACTCACTTTCCAACATCTTTCCTACCAAAGACAACTACCCACTTTAAAAAAATTTCTCCCCAACCAAACACCACCTAAGAAAATCTTTGAACCCCTTTCTAGCCAATTCATGCTCACCTTTGAAACTATACAAGTGAGCCTTCAACTGTGACCATTCTAACTCCATCTGTTCGAGCTCAATTACATAGTCCATAACCCAAATTGCCTGTCGATTTTTCGAGCTCTGACTTTAACCTCGACGAGGGACCTAGGAGCTTCGGCTTCAACGAGATTGTTTCACAATTACTCTTCTATTGCCCTCTCGTTTTCTTCATTTTGAAAGATTCTCTGTTGCGACGAACTTCGCTAGCCGCAGGCAGCACGAGGGTGGTGGCGGCGACGGGCTTGAGCTGAAGGCGCATGAAGAAGAATGCAGTTGTGGCTATGGCGATGCAGGTTGGTTCGACGAGAGGTGAGAAAAAAAGGTTTAGGGTTTGGACAAGGTGGGTTAAGGGTTTTGGGGTTTGTGAAAAGTACGGTGTTTGGGTAACGGTGACAGTGAGGCTCTGGTGGATGATAATTGGAAAGATGAAGAAGAATCGGAAGAAAGGGGATAGAAGAAGAAGATGATATAAGGCAAAAAAATTAATTTATTACTTTTTTAATAAAAAATTACGAATAAGTTGTCATTTTGCAAAAAATTACGAATCTATAGCACTCAAACACACCCACATGGGGCGTGTTCTGATGGAGAGAGACACGCCCATGTGGGGCGTGAGCTTGTGAAGGAAATACGCCCAACGTAGGGTGTGTGCGGCAGGAGAGAGACACGCCCAATATAGGGCGTGAGCTTCTGAACAAGACACGGCCAAAGTAGGGCGTGTTCTAGGAGAGAGACACGCCCACGATAGGGCGTGTTCTCCGCGGTGTATATAAATCCGTTTTTCACTTTTTACCTCATTTCCACCCTCCCATCCTCTCTCTAAACCTCATCCTCCTCCTTCTCTCTAAATTTCTTTTGGAGGGTTTTGCGCAGCGAAGCTCTGTCTTTCTCTCATGTAAGTCCCTATTTATTGTTTATTTTTTTATTAACAACAATTAATATATGATAGTTATTAGCGACTTAGATAATTGTTAGGGGGTTAGAAAAATATTTGTGACTTTATTTAATTGTTAGGGGGTTAGAAAAATATTAGTGACCTATGTAAGAGAATTGTGATGTGACTTATATATTATATGGACTTGCAAATTAATTAGTTACTTCTAAATTGGTATATGTTGGTTTTATGACTTATTTACACACGTAGAAATTAGTTTGTGACAATTAATATTTTTTTATGAATGACACTTGCAAACATATTGACCTTTCAATTAACCACATTATAATTAGGGTTAAAGACGAATGAATAACGTATGCAATATTAATTTAAATTGAATTTGAATTAATATTTGTATTGAAATATATTGATATAGAATAATGTAATGTTAAATGAATTAATTGTCAATGATGTTAATTTAATTGAAATTAATATAACAATTGAAGTTATTAGTTAAATGCTATTTAATTAAGTGCAATTAAATTTTATTTAGTGTAAATTAATATAATATCAATAGTAATTTGGGTACATCTTTATCATCTGTAGTAGTATTCTATTATGGCCCATTCGTCTTCATCAGAGTCCTCACGCTCTGGATCCGATGGTGATCTTGAGCCATCTGATCCTTGTACGCATGTACTTCCTGGTCCATATAGGTGGGAGGTACTCCGTAAGAGGACACAGCGCAGTCACGTTTCACAAGTTGTGTGGAACGAGGATACGGTAAGGGGGTTAAAGACGAGGCGAGGGAAACTTCAGGGGGGACCCCATCACGATGATATACCAGACGTTGTCGCTGACTATTTGACACAGGCTGGGTTCATACACGTGGCACGTATGAGTCATGTTCAGGTATGTTATGTTTAAATAGCTTAATTAAATTACCGTATGTGGACTTTGTATAATTGTTGTTTTTCCTTCAGATCGATACCCCATTGATCTCTGCTTTGCTTGAGCGTTGGAGACCGGAGACATATACATTTCACATGACGCAGGGAGAGATGACCGTTACATTACAGGACGTGGCTGGTATACTTGGTTTGCCTACTGACGGGAAGGCAGTTACCGGATCTACAGCGTTGGATTGGATTGCTATGTGTGAGCAGGTTTTTGGGACTGCCCCAGTTACGGGCACAGACATTCACGGAGGCGATCTACGTATTTCTTACTTAGACAAGATATATGTTGATTGGTTTACAGTAGCACACAATCCAGAGGAGGTGAGGCGTTACACCAAGGCACACATTTTGCGGCTATTAGGCTCATGGTTAGTGTGTGACATATCAGGTGGCAGCAAAATTGCTTGTCGTTACGTTCCACTGCTTGCAGGGGACTTTACGGACATTGGCAGATACAGTTGGGGGTCTGCGGTTCTCGCCCATCTCTTTAGACATTTATGTGTGGCAACAAACCCGCGCACTGTAAATCTGGGTGGTTGTCACGTATTACTGTAGATATGGGCTTGGATTAGATTCCCCCTCATTGCACCACCTATCCCGCAGCCTACCCACCCGAAGTGGCATTTTGGTCACAGGTATATTTTATTAACTCATATTGACTAATTTATTACATGTTCATTTGTCGAATGAGTATGATAATGATTTACACATTCCCTTACAGGTTTAATTCCCTACCTCCCTTTAAGCCACATGAGCAGACTTGGTATCGGGCAAACCTTGACACGCTTTATAGAGACGAGGTTTGTGATATTTATTATTAATTGTTTTTCATTTATTTACATATTATAGTTGGTGGTAATTGTGTTTTCTGAATTACTAATTTTTTTATATGTAGGTTGTGTGGCAGCCATACGGAGAATACCATACAACATTGTTTGTATCTGATCATGAGCGGTACTTATGGTTGGTCATTACTCCTATCATTTGCTTCCACACAGTTGAGTACGCTCAACCGGATCGATGTATGCGACAATTTGGTTTTGATCAGCCCATACCGCGGAGACCAAGAAAGCTTAAGGGTGTTCATGATCTAACTCTGCGAGGGAAGAAGGATGATAATTGGGAGCGTAAGTTGAGGCCCTTCATACATCGATGGACGATCAGGGATACGTCCATATGTATTCCCCCTGCATTGGTCGGGTTGATGTCCCCGAACCATGAGTACCTACACTGGTACAGACAGCGAGGGAAACGGTTTTTCGCCAGGAAAGCTGCCAGGGTTGGACGAGCAGTAAGTTTTGACACTTCAATTATGAATATGATTCTGTGTTTATAAATTTTTAATTATATCATGTTGTTTCATTTCTTTATAGATTGATGGGTTGGAGATGCTATATTTTGCGACTACTGCGGATCAGTTCCCTGCCTTTGGCTTAGAGTGGGTCCATGACGAGATTGGTCGCATTATTACCATATTCAGAGAGTCGACACGAGTAGAGGAGCCAGGGACAGAGGCTTCACCTACGCAGACTGTTGAGGAGCCGATGTTGACCATTGAGGTTCCCAGTGGCAGGCAGGAGGGGCGTGGACTAGGATGACAGCGTCAATCGGTTCGAGCGATACCCGATCCTATTATTGCTCCTAGACCGCGCACTGATATGCAGATAACTTAGACCGCCAGTGCTGAGCCAACGAGGCGGGCCAGAGCCTATGTACCATGGTCCTCCTCCGCCGCAGTATTATGATAGCCAGCCAGGTCCATTGTATGGCCAAGGGTTTACACAGAGTGAGCAGGTTTATCAGGCTAGCCCCATGGCATGCGCATCTGGTGGGGTACCGGTCTCTCAGGATCCTTCCTGTGGTACAGAGTATCAAGAGTGGAATATGGAAGACGTTACAGAGTGGTGCCAGACCTTGGACTTGACCACAAACGGAGTAGGCGATTGGCCTACACATGTTAGTGCACAACATGATTTTATACCATCTGCGAGCGGTGGATATGTTGCTTCTACACCTGGCATAGCTTGCACGACTCCACCAGCTCATGTTCCAGAGGCGGTTGGCAACGAGGAGCCGTGTCTTGACGCATTTGCACAGGCTATAGAGGCTCAGTCTAGGCGTCGATTACCCCCACGTCAGGCACGTGATAGGCCATGGCCTCGTTGGTCGTAGTTTTATTTCATGTATTGACTGATGTATTGACTGTTTTTTTGTTTAGTTACATGGACTGATGTATTGACTGGTTTTTTGGGACTGTTGTAATTGTTTACTGGTTTTCTATTAGCATGCAAGGAGTAAACAAATCAGTTTTATGTATGCGATGTTATACGTAATATGCAAGCAAACCACACAATCACCGTAAAAGCTAATTTTAAAAAAACAGAGCGATACATTGTAATTGGCAAATTAATTGTTCATAAGTGACAAACACCCACAATTCATATCATGCATTATTGCCACGGTTAGGACACGACCTACGATTGTGCCCGTGTTGCTTACAAAGACCACATAACCTACGTGATGAAATAGTTTCAACCTCATCCATCTCGTTTCGTATTCTTGTAGACTTTGGACGACCCTTTGCCCGCAACATATTGTTATTTGGTATTACCACAGGACCTGCATTGTTGGGTGGAATTGCTTGCTCATTACCGATTGGTTGCCATGGAAATGAGTATGCCTTTACCAAGTTTGACGTCTTGAATACATCATCTATATATTGTCGATAATTTCGACGAATGGATAACGCTGCAGCAACGGCGTGACTACAAGGATATTTAAATGCTTTAAATTGTCCACATTGGCATGTACGAGCAGCAAGGTTAACAGCATATGTCCTTTCAAACCCTGCATCCACCTCAAAAACGGTTTCATCAACATTATATGTACGCACAATATGCATTGTTGCCACAGATTCATTATGTGTCAAAGATTCAATCACATTTTTGCAATAACTATGACCAGATTCAAGTTGTCTACAAGCCGATTGACCTCTTTCCACGCAATATTGAACCAATCTACTGTATGTAAATTTTACCAGACCAGTAATGGGCATGTTTCTTGCTCCCTTTAACACTCTGTTTATGGATTCTGCCAAGTTTGTTGTCATATGCCCAAATCTTCGTCCATCAAGGTCATGTGCACGCGACCACTTTTCCTTAGGGATGGCATCAATCCATTCCGCTACCTGCCTGCTTGTGTCTCGAAATCGTGCTAGCGACCTCTCAAAATCCACCATGCAAGGAGTATATCCTGCGAACAATGTAAAAAACACACAGTTGAATTTCGACGAAAAACTACAATTATTTAATTCACCAATCATAGTCTGCAACATACCTATATTCATCAGGCTAGCCTTCAATTTGTCATTTCTAAATCGTTGATTAAAATTGCTTGCAATATGTCGCAGACAAAACACATGAAATGCATGGGGTGGTTGCCATAGGGGATTATTTTCAACAGCCGATAATATGCTCACATGTCGGTCTGAAATTAGACATATATTATGCGTTTGAGTGACGTGCTGACGAAGATTGGCAAGGAAGTATGACCAAGCCTCCAATGTCTCACCCTCAACAACGACAAATGCAAGTGGCACACATTCATTATTACCATCTTGAGTTGTGGCAATCAATAACTTTCCCTTATATTTTTCGTATAGATGAGTGCCATCAATTTGTATCATTGGTTTGCAAAATTTAAATGCCTCGCAACATTGTCTGAAAGTCCAGAAACAACGAACAAATACACGTTTTTCGATAACCAATTGCCCCCCAACAAAACAATCCTTTGTTTGAATATTGTGAAAGGAACCTGGTGAAAAACGAAGCATATATTCACACCAGTTGGGTAAAAATGCATAGGACTCCTCCTAATCACCATATAACATTGCCATTGCTTTCTGCTTCGCATACCATGCCTTTCGATATGAAACTTTGAATCCATATGAATGTGTTATCCTCTCCTGAACGAGCGAAATGGCCACTGAAGGTTCCTTTTTTATCATCTCTGAATTACAAAAACTGGATATAAACATTAACAAAACAACAGGTATATCAACTGCAATTTTAATTTGAAATTACGTACCTACTACAAGTGCTGCAATAACGTCAGAATCAAGTTGTCGATGATCTTGAGAAATATGGTCATTCAAGCAATTGTGCTTCCCACCCCATTTCGTTACCTTCCAATTTTCACCATACGTTGGTTTAATTACCTTGACCCTCCACGGGCAACCTTGAACGTGTGCACAACATTTCATGCTTAATTTTGTGGGAGTGCTCTCAACCACAATTGCTTCTTGATGCTCCTTCATGAGGTAGCGCTTGATTGTCATCTGAGCCTCTTTTTTGGATGTAAATTGTTGGTTAACAAACAACTTTTCTCCCAATTGCCAAGGACCCTGGATTGAACCCGAACTCTGCGTCCATGATTGTGCCTCACTCAGATAATCCCAATCAATATATGTGTAATGTGGAATTTCTGACCAAAAAGGATCAACAGGTGCATCACCTACATGTACTACGTAATAATAATAATAGAATTGAATTATTTTCTTAATCAAAAATTGCAACAACCAAACTGTCAGTATATTAATTGATAGCATACCTTCAGGATGTTCTGGTACTTGACTCGATGTTGTGCCATGGTGTACAACGATACGAGACTCCCCCAAATCATGCAATGGTTGAAGTTCAGTACCAGACCTGCCACATTCTTCGTCATTGTCCGATGCACTCGCATCCTCTAAAAGAAGACGATCCTCTATTGCAATATTTTCCTCATCATCTTCGTCATACTCCTCATCCATAACCCAAGTAGGGTCATGTTCATCTTCCTCAGACATGTTAACAGCAGGAACAGCAGATGATGATGCATTAAGAGGAGAAGTAGACCTAACTGACCTCATTGGTATGACAACTTCCTCCGCGGTTGTAGTATCCACATACAACTCTAAGAAATCCTTTCTACACTGGTTCAAGAACTCTTCCATTACCATATCGATGTCTTCGTCATCGACCACTTGCAAGCTAATGTATTGTTCACATTGCCATAACCTTGCCGTGACAAGAGTGATCAATTGGTTGTCTTGAAGACATAATTTTTGACGTATTTTCTGATGCAGCTCAGCAACCGTTGAGTTTCGTTTAATACGTGATGGCCTTTTCTCCCCTACAAAAATAACACCACGACGACCTTCTTCTTTCCTATCGTTAAAATATAGAACAACACGAATAGTATCAGAATTCGCACTCATTTTTAAAATCAAAATTTTAAAAGATAAAACAAAATATGAGTAAACAAGTGCAAACTATCAGAGAGTTTAGCATAACAATGACAGAATTGTGAAGAGTGTGTAGGGGGTGGGTGTTTAAATAGCAGTTAGTTTAGTCACTCACGCCCATATTTGGGCGTGTCTACCCACTGAACACGCCTTATATTAGGCGTGACCACACACGCCCTACGTTGGGCGTGTTTCCTTCACAAGCTCACGCCCCACATGGGCGTGTCTCTCTCCATCAGAACACGCCCCATGAGGACGTGTTTGGGTGCTGTAGATTCGTAATTTTTTGCAAAACGACAATTTATTCGTAATTTTTTATTAAAAAAGTAATAAATTAATTTTTTTGCCAATGATAGAAAGGTTACAATGGGGAAGATAAAAGTGAGATGGGACTAACTTAATACATCATTCTCTTATCAGGTCTAATCCCGCCTCCATAGACCTGATTATATTATACATCAATTATTTTGATGTATAAGCTTATACTATACGATGGTAACACTAAACAATTAAAAATATCATAAATGTATAATATAAGCTTAGACTATCAGACCTTATACATCACATCAAACATGCCCTAAGTGAGTACACCTAAAATGGTCCTTCGAAGTTGATGTTTTGTGAAAAATTTCCAAGCAGTACATGTAGTTTAAATTGGATCAAAAACTTCTTCGTATTATACAATGAAATTATAGTTATAATATATTTTAGAGAAATAATTATCTCATGTTGCATGAGATAATTATCTCATGCAACATGAGATAAAATATATAGTATCTCATGCAACATGAGATAAATAGATCTATATATTTAAAGGGATAAATAAATCTCATGTCATAGGAATAAAGTTCATCTCATGTTAGTGAGAGCTCGATTTTCGTGTTAATATTTTTTCTTTTTCTTTTTCTTTTTAAAATTAATGGACCCACTTGATTGTATGTGTAGGAAAAAAACTTCTCTCATGTTGCATAAGAAAATGCAACCCCATATTTAAAATCTAAAACAATTTGTACCAAAAACATTAATATTTTCATGAATTTCAGGCATAATTATGACTTTTAGTACAATCGAAACATCAAGATTTAGACATTTTAGCTAACATTAATAATGTACTTATATTCTTCAACACACCGCAACAGTTATAACTTTCTCAAAGACTACACAAAGTAAAAAAACAAAAGGCATTCAACTACTTGTCCTCTTTCTAATTCATGAAAATGACTATTAGTTTAGGACTGAATGTGACGGTCGTTTTCTCCCTTTAATGAAATATTAATACATCGAAAGTTGAAGAATTATTCAATATCAGTATATTATAATCTCTTATAGTTCTATATATTATCAGGATTTTATAAGAGTTATGTTGTAGGAAAAGTGATTGTGTTATGTTATAGAGATTCGTTTTGCGTGCCAGAGTTTTTTTTTTTTTTTTGCTGCGGGCCCCACAAAATGTTGTGTGTGTAGGAAAATTTTTGTGGTCATGTTAAATGATAGATGATAAACCCATATTATCATTGACATAAATTGATGCAATCACGGTTAGGGCATTGCATATGGTTTAACCATTGGTTCAAGAAACTCGGAATCAACTGGAATTATGGCTCAATAAATATGATTTAATTGTTAAAAGAAGTAGTAATTTGAAAATATAACAAATTACGATCAAATTTAAGTTCAAAGGAAGAAACATATATGATTGTGATTTGTTTGGCAACACATTTGACATGATTTGAGATCTAAGAGACGTGTTTTGAATGATTTAAATTTAATTATTTATTTGTTTTTAGAAATTAATTATTATTATATTTATTTTTAGGAGTTTTCCTTATTTTTAGGATTTTAGATTTTGAATTTTGAATCAATTTGTAATTAGTCTATAAAAGGTCGCTTATAACCCTTATTGTGGGAGTTGAATTTTGTTATTTTGATAATTAGAAATTGAGCACCAAAGAATTACTCTTTTATGAAATATTAACTTTATGTTTAACCACATTTTTTATGCGCTTTCAGCATCAATTGATATTAGAGCACTAGGTTGCCTTCAACCAATGGCTGAACAAAATCGTAAAGGTCATGGATGGCGAGTCGTGAAGGCTAGAGACGTGGATTCGTTCCTAAAGAAGATGGACAACCGCGTTAGATAGACTTTCGAAACATAGAAAATGATGAGCTCAGAAGGCGGATCCAGGATTTGAAGCGACAACTTGAGTATGCTGGACAATAAAATCCAAGTTTTGGAGCAACTACTTGTGCTGGCGCAGAGCAAGAAAATTCAAGATTTCGAGCAACAACTCGTGCGAGCACATAGCAAGAAAATCCAAGTTTTGAAATAACAACCTGTGGAGGCGCAGAGCATGAAAATCCAAGATTCAGAGCGGCGACTTGCGAGAGCAAAATTGGACCTTCAATCCGAAGAAGGAAACGAATCAAAGGGTGCATCTGATAACGAAGAGGAAGACGTTAATCCTTTAAGGATTTAAACCATATACGAAATTGGGAAGTACAACCTAGAAACCAGTTCTCTTTTCAAGATATCAAGATGCAAATCAACATTCCTGACTTTGAAGAGTATGATCATAACACACTTTATGATGATTATCCGATTTATGATGATTATCCCTTTTATGATGATTACCCATCGTATAATGAAAATTCAGTTTATGATGATAATCCAGTCTATAATAAATCTGAAGGAGAATCTGATGATGAAGATCTAATAGAGGAAGAATTATCAATTGAATTTTTACCTAAAGAGATTGATATTAGTGAAGATGAAGAAGATTCGATAACGAATCTTTTTCTATCAGGGGAGAATGATGCGCTTACGGTTGGTCATTGCACATGGCCCAACCATTGGTTCAAGAAGCTCGAAGTCAACTGAAATTATGGCCCAATAACTATGGCGTAACTATTAAAAGAAGCTGTAATTTGAAATATAATAAATTACGATCAAATCCAAGTTCAAAGGAAGCATTATATATGATTGTGATTTGTTTGGTAAGAAAAGAAGGAAAGCAACACATTTGACATGATTTGAAATCTAAGATTTGAGACATATTTTGAATGATTAAATGATAATTATTTATATATTTTTAGAAATTAATTATCGTTATATTTATTTTTAAGAATTTTCCTTATTTTTAGGATTTTAGATTTTGAATTTTTGAATCAATTTATAATTAGTCGAACCAAATAATTACTCTTTTACAAAATCTTAACTTTCTGTTTAGCTATATTTTCTATGCACTTTCGGCATCATAAATTTCACACAAGAGTTACAGATCCATAAATGTCACGGAGAATTTCAACAAAAATACTCTTGTAACTTTCATCTATATGGCAAGATCGTTTCATCTTTCTAAGTCCCACAGGTTGCTCCAAATATCCAACTTGAGTGGAAACAAAATGTTCTCTTGACACTTGGCAGTATTATAGCAATCTAATGGACAAGCAAAACATGGCATTGCAAATTTGCCATTCAGAGTTAGGCACTGAAACCAACACACACCCATATATAAAATGAAAATGAAACGCTCTTCGGTGGCACAAACCACAATCCCCAAAAGGCCAAGGGAGGATGAGTGCACTAACTAGTAAGAACCACCATCACAAACCCCCCTCCTAAATATTAACGGTCATAACAAATAGAAACCATAATCATAATTTATATAGCCTATACCGGTGGTAATAATCAATGTTATTAAAATCGATTTTGCCATTCACCGGTTAAGATATCATGTCACTGGTTCACACAGTAATTATATATAAATTTATAATTTATATTAAAAAATCATAAACATACTTATATTAAATAGCTGAAAAAAATATAAATTCTAAATATTTAATATAAAAAAATATAAATTCTAAATATTTAATATAAAAAAATATAAACTCTAAATATTTAATATAAAAATATAAATTACACATTATTATCTAATAAAAAATTAAATAAACATATAATGTTTGTGATAATGATGTTTCAGATTCAGTAAACGACATGTTTAACAATAAATCAAATCAAAATTCTCTGCATAGTGCATAACTAAGATAATATTAATATTATAGGTACATAATCTATGTAAGTCAATAAATAACAGATCATTCAAATATGTCAATTATGACTTTTATTTTTTTAAACTTTTTGTTTTTAGAAAAAAAAATTTAAATAATCTGGACCGGATCACCGATTTTCATCAAAACTGGCCGGATCACACCCGAGTTTATTGCATGTCTGATTCGCTGCTTCATTCGAACCGAATATTTAACTGATTTATCGATTTTCGTATCAATCCAACCACGTGTCCCTTATAAATTATGAAGCACTGACACTTCAAAAACCCTGACGTGTCGTGTCCGACACTTTCGGACACTCGGACACTCCTCAACACTCCAACACGCATTATATAAATCCAAAAAAAAGTTCAAAGATTAAATTGCGTTGAGTTTTTAGTTCCAACTATTAGATTCATTGGATTATGATTACTATTTTATTGAATTTAATATAAATATTCGAAATATCTTATGTTTCTTTACAAAATTTATGAATATTATAAGTTTAGATATTTTTTTTTTTAAGTTATTGAATATTAAATATAATATATACTACATAAATTAAAAATATTATTTAATATTAAAATGTGTCCTAACGTGTCGAAATCTAACATTTTTAAAAATTAACGTGTTGGAGTGTCGTATCGTATCGTGTCACGTGTTCCTGTCACATATCCCGTGTCAGTACGGTGTTACTTAGTCCATGAACAAAAACTTACCCTACTCGTATTGGATAATCTAACCCGCAAATCAAACCTTAACACGAATATGAAAGGTTTAACACATTTTATCTCAACATTCACACGGTTATAACCAACAGGTTGGAGAATAGAGCCGCATAAAATAAAAGTTGAAAGGACATTTTGGCTTCATATTAGGTAGCAAAAAGACAAAAACTTCGAGGCTATGACAACATAAAGCATGGCAAAACTAGAACATAGCAGGAAAAAAAAATTCCCCCCATTTTTGGTGTTCCAGTCTTTTGTCTCTAGTGTAGGCTGGTTCCTCTCTTTATGTATCAGTAAGCTGAGGAAGAAGAAGAAGAAGAAGAAGAAGAGGATGAAGGTCTTATAGCAGCGAAGGAACAGTACTTCTCCTTCTGAATAGTCTCTTCCTCGTCCATGAAAATCTGCTTGCACCTGCACTCCTCGCTACAGAAGGCCCTGTCCCCTCTTCACGTATTCATGTTTCAAAACACCAAAAAATAATAACAAAATAAAGAACCCAAAGAAACTTCCTTAACATATCAATAAATATATAAACCATAAAAGATCTTAGCTTTTGTCAGAAACCAGATCAGTCAAATGAAGAAGGAACAAACAAAGCATTATTATAAATGGACTAAAAGTAAGATCTGGGTTTCAAGAGAAAGTGCAAAGTGTCAGAGAAGAAAACACTGCAAGAGACTCACTTGTACATGTAGATGTCTTTCCCTGGCAACAACCTCTTCTTGCAGAGATAGCATAGGTCTAGAAACGTTGGTTCCTTGAAAGAAGAGTGATGTGAATTCAAGGATACTGCAGAAGGAGATTGTTTGTTGTTGTTGCTGCTGAGAATCATGGTTTTGTTTATCACTTGGGGAGTTTTCTTGTTAACACCACCTTTCTGAGCTTCGAGTACTACACTCAGACCCACCATCTTTCATTCTATGCTTTCTCACTCTTCTTTTTTTCCTCCCTTCTCTGTGGTCTAAGTTGGTGGTGAATGGAAAATGTTTTGATGAAATCACAAAGGTAGCAATGAGAAATAAAGAGAAGAAAAGTGGGTCCCTTGGAGCAGTAATAAAGAACGATAAACGATTTGATTGCTTTTGCTATTCAACTGCCACGTAGCAACTTTGTAGTTTGCATTTCATTTTTGGGTCTGAAAGTTTTTGAAGGTCTTGTCTGTTTGTATTAATGTGTTTGGTAGCAGCATTTTGGCTTGGTGTATCACTGTATCCATCTACTAATCTTTTCATGGTTGATAAATTAAAAGAAAAAAATTATTTTAGAGATGAGACAAGTTTTTTTTCTTATATACTCTTTGATAATTGTGTCATTTTTTTTTTTTTTTTTAGGTGGTGGAGCCCACTAATTTGTCTCTATGACATGAGATAATTATCTCCTTTAACATAAAATTAATAAAACCCAAATTAAAAACTACTTTTTAATTAAACTCGACTAATAAGTATAAGGTGAGGATAATTTTTTATATAATTTATTTTTACAAATAATTATAAAGAAATTATTTTTTAAATTTAAATTTGTGACCTTTAAAAAAAAAAGAGTAAACACCCTTTTTAGTCCCTGTCAATATCTACGAAGTCTTTTTTAATCCCTGGCAATAAAAAAGGACCAAATTGGTCCCTGAAATTACAAAAAAAGGGCCATGTTAGTCTTTATGCATATGTCAACTCTCAAATATGTAGAGTAGCCCTTTTCTTATACTTTCAGGGACCAATTTGGTCCTTTTTTATTGCCAGGGACTGAAAAAGACTTCGTAGATATTGCCAGGGATTAAAAAGAGTGTTTACTCAAAAAAAAAAAAAATTTACCATCAAAAATAAAATAAAATGAATGACCCAATACACAGTTGCATTTAACTTTGGTGTGACCTTTTAGGTGAAGCAGTACTACTGCATCATGAGTTGTTTTGTGTTGTGTAATTGAACGTTTCAAGATAAGCACTTTTGGTTGGGTTTGTTTGTCCTTTTGCTAAATAGACTTTTTACCATGGAGGAATAATGACAATTGACAACACATAGAGCATCATCCACGTCTCTTTTCAAATGCTATGTTGTGAAGGATTAAGTTTAGGATACAAGTTAAAGAATTAAAATCAAACAAATATTTTAAGACATTAAAAATAATTTATTTTTTCATGGAATAATTGAAATAATTTATTTATTAAATAATATAGTTAAGGAAAATATTAAATTGCTTTAATTAGAGTACTTAGGGTACTAGTTCATAAATACCTTTTTAATTAGTGTATTTAGAAACTAAATGACTACATTGAATTAATAAAGTACGATCCAATTGGTAGATGACTGAGTTCCAAATGAGATTTGATTCAAAAATATTTTGTTGGTAGAAAAAAAATCTATCTCGATAATCTTTACGATTTGAAAAAATTAATCTATCGGTTGCGGCTACTAAGTACTAACTAAAAAAACGGCTGCATTGGAATATATGACTGGACTTCTGCCGGGTGATTCTTTTATTTTATCACAGATAATCATTGGATTTTCTATTTAAAATTTAGGGTTTTATAAGAGTTATGTGGTAGGAAAAGTGATTGTGTAATGTTATAGAGATTCGTTTTGCGTGCTTTAATTTTATTTTTATTTTTTTGTTTTAAAAAATGCGAATCTCACAAAATATTATGTGTAGGAAACTTTTTTGTATCATGTAACAAGATAGATACAAATCCCTTAAATTTATATCATTGGGTAAGAGAACTACTATTTAAAAATGTGATAGAATTTTTAATTTTTTATTTATTTTGATTAAGTTCCTTTTGTTATATCGCATTTGTTTGTTTGTTTTTTTTTTTACCGGAAGGGCCAAAATAACAGTGGTATGATTTTTGTAGTACACTGTTGGATTTGCAGTACAGCAGTAACTGGATTGGGACTTGGGTGGGACCAACATTTCTTGTTTGTATAATATTGGACAAATGCTGCAATAAATTAGGAAGCAGAAATTGATTGTTGAACTCGTGACCTGTTTGTTTTTTTTTTTTTTTTTTTTTTTTTTAATACAATGAGCTGGTTTTTACACTCATCCCACTAGTCATGTATAAACAGAAGCATAATTCATGATTCACCTGTTTATGTATACATACATATATACAATCACATTGGAAGTACAGACATGTTTAGGTATCATAAAAAAAGAATAATAAAACTCGAAAAGATAATCATGATTATGTATTGAAGAGTAAGCTCAAAAGAGGAAAGGAAAGACATTACAACTTGTCCATTTAGACGCATGCATTTTTATTTTTATTTTTTTTTGGAAAGAATATACGCATTATCATAGAGGTAATAGTAATTTGCTATCCATCTCAGCATCAGCCTATAACAAAGCAACACAAACAATCCGTAGTAGACCGGGAGAGGCAAAAATTAGATAATATAATCATATGCTCAATACATTTGGCATTTACCTATTAATCACGCATATATGCTTTCATTTTCATGCTTGTCAATAATTGTTTTGCATTATCTTTATGATTATCTTTTCCATTGACCTGGTGTCGGATATTTTTTTTTTTAGTTTTTCTTTTTTTGTAAGCAGAAGTTAGGCCAAATAAATTTTTACAATTTTTTTTTATAATAACAAGAACTCTTTTATATAATAAAGAAAAAAATTAAAAGCCAAAAGTTCCTAGAAATAGCTTTTTTTTAAACTCTTATAAATTTTTCTTGAAATGATGTATAAAAAAAAAAAAATTCTTGAAATGAGATTTGAACTTTTAAGTAACTTATTAGAAAAAAAAGAAAGAGTACTGAATATCCTTCATTGTCCATATCAGATAGTACAGAGATGATGTCATATATACACACGTGAGGAAGGATCTAGATCCTTTAGCCTAACAGAAAGTGGAAAAAATAACAAACTCTGCAAAAGAGCAAAAATAAACTTTTTACAACAGAATTCCTATTCCTCAATTTACAATTGTATCCTACAATTCTAACACTTCCCCTCAAGGTGGGAAGTAGATATTTATAATTCCAATCTTGACAAGAAGTTGAGTAAAGTGTGCAGGATATAGAGGCTTTGTCAGCAAGTCTACTAATTGATTCTGTGAGCCAATGTGCAATGGTTTGACTTCACCTTTGAGAATCTTTTCCCTAACCAAATGACAATCAATCTCTATATGCTTTGTTCTTTCATGAAACACTGAATTTTCTGCAATATGAATGGCTGCCTGGTTATCACAAAATAATAAAGCTGGACCATCATTCTTTATGCACAAATCACGTAACAAAGACTTTATCCAAACCAATTCACAACAAACATTAGCCATTGCCTTATATTCTGCCTCTGCAGAGGATATTGACATAGTATTCTGTTTCTTTGATTTCCATGACACAAGTGATTCTCCAATAAAAACACAAAAACCAGTAATTGACCTTCTTGTATCTACACATGATGCCCAATCAAAATATGCAAAAGCTTTTAATTTCACACTGTTATTTTCTACATAAAATAAACCTTGACCAACAGTCCCTTTAATATATTGAAGCAATATATGTGCTGCCTACATATGAGGTTCTCTAGGATGAGTAAGAAATTGGCTTAATTTATTTACTGCATAGGACAAATCTGGTCTAGTAATGTTAAGGTATAACAATCTACCAATTAGCCTCCTATAAGAAGTAGGGTCATCAAGTAACTTTCCTTCTTCTAAGGATAATTTAACATTCGGTTCCATAGGACAAGTTTTTGGTTTACATCCCAAAAAACCAGAATCTGCCAAAATCTGAAGAGCATACTCTCTTTGACTTAAGGCAATGCCTTTTTTACTACGGGTTACTTCAATACCAAGAAAATACTTTAGATCTCCAAGGTCTTTAAGCTTGAAATGTTTATTCAAGAAAAGTTTCAAACAGTAACTCTTGAAGAGTCATTACTAGCCACAATTATATCATCAACATATACCAAAAGAGTTAAAAAAATTCCCTCAATTTTGATAAAAAGAGAACAATATGCACCTGATTGTTTGAAGGAAGCAACTATTAAGGTAGAAGAAAACTTAAGGAACCATTGTCTAGATGCATGTTTCAAACCATATAAGGATTTGTGTAATTTTCAAACAAGGTTAGTAGGTAAACACTCCCCCTCATGGTGATAGTCAGGAGGAGGAAGCATGTAAACTTCCTCAGATAAGTCACCGTGCAAAAAAGCATTATTGATATCAGTCAAGGACCAACCAGAAATAAAGGCCAATGCCAACAAGATGCGAACTGAACTAATTTTAGCAACCAGGAAAAAAGTGTCAAAATAATCAATACCCTCTTGTTGAGAAAAACTTTGAGCAACCAATCTTGCCTTATACCTTTCTAGAGAACCATTAGAATTCAGCTTACATTTATACACCCATTTACAGCCTATAGGACGCTTACCAGGAGGAAAGGGTACCACAGACCAAGTCCCATTGGACTTCAAGGCATCCAATTCCAACTTCATGGCCTGCTGCAAGCGGGGGTCTTTGGTGGCTTCATAGAAAGAGGAAGGCTCAATGTGACAAGAAGCTGAATTAACAAAGGCCCTGAAGGAAGGGGATAAATGAATATATAACAAAACAGATGATAGAGGATAGGGGCAGGGTGTACAACTAGAAAATATAAAATCCTGCAAGTGGGGGGGGGGGGGGGGGGAGGTTTGGTTTGACGGATGGCCTGGAAGAAGAGATAGGATGTTGAGTGGGAAGGATGGAATCAGAAAAATTTGAAGAATTGAGGGAAGGCTGAGTAAGAAAAGGAAAAACAGTTTCATGAAAAACAATGTCACGAGTAATAAGAATTCGATTGGTAGTGAGATCAAGGACTTTATATGCCTTGTAGCTAGGGGCTAGCCAAGAAAAACAACGGGTAGAGCCCTTGGAGAAAATTTGTGCCTATCACGGGGTAAAGTAGAGACAGCCAAAAGATCAAAGATGAGAATAGGAAAGAGGCTTGCCACGTAGAATCCGATACCATATTAGAAAAAAAGAAAGAGTACTGAATATCCTTCGTTTGTCCAAATCAGATAGTATAGAGATGGTGTCATATATATACACCTATGAGGAAGGATCTAGATCCTTTAGCCTAACAGAAAGGGGAAAAATAACAAACTTTGTAAAAGAGCAAAAACAAACTTTTTACAACAGAATTCCTATTCCTCAATTTACAATTGTACCCTACAATTCTAACATAACTTTTAAACTATAAATTTTATGTAATTACCAAATAATTTTTAATTTTTTTTAAACTTTTTTTTTAGCTTTAACTTAAAAATAACTTTTAGTTTAAAAAAGAAAGAATCCAAATAAACTCCTAATTATCCATTTTGAAACGTGATATCTAAAAAAAATGGATCCGATCTTTATTTATAATTTAATCACGCAACTGAACACCATATTTTGATCGGAATATTAGCATAACTATTTTATACAAAAATAAAAGAATTTAATTAATAATAATGATAACAAAATTCAATGAAAATATTTTAGACTTGCTACATTTCGCTTTATTTATTAGACATCCTAAACTTATAAAATAGAAGTTGAAGAGTGACAAGTGGTGAAATAAATCGTGAAATCTAGAATAATATAAAATTAAATTAGAAATTTAAAGAAAAAACACAAAACAAAAAAACACAAAACATAATGACTACAATTTTCAAACTTTTTACCAAATTATATTTATTCAAAATTCTTCTGAACAATTACGTACATTGATAATATAATCTATTTAGTTTAAATATATAATTAACTACAACATCTTCAATATATTTTATAAATTCGTCTAGAGCTTTCCGTGGCGCCATAACGCAAAGGAATCCAGGAATTGGATCGAAAGAATAATACAATATTATCCTTAAATATGTGAATCAACTGATATGAGTTTGTTCTAAATTAACCTGATCTCAAGTTCGAATATTGAGTAACTGTGTTAAATTTTTTGGCAAATGAGAGCTATATTGTCTGTGTGGTCATGTTCGGTTTTATCGGATTAGTCGAATAATTGATAAATTGATATATAAATTTAAAAAATAATAATAATAGAATATTAGATCGAAGAAGAATTGAGGAGGGTATGTTTTAAGGGTATAATTCTCACCATCCAGAAGCTTAGAGAATAGACACTTGGGGGCGATAAAGAAAGAGTACCCGCTTTAAGGGTAAGTTTGCTTGCAACAAAGGGCAGTGACCGTAGTGAAAAATTGAAAATGAAACGACATAGCGTGGACGGGCTCCTTTTATTTATTTTTCTAATAAATAAACAACACCTTAACACATAGTCACAATGGGTTAAACTGGAAAGGTGAACCTTGAGAGATTAGGGCCTAGAGGTAAATGTTTTGGGCTCAAACGACAAAAATGTTCTTGGGCTATTTGTGATGGCTAATATGAACAACAAAAATTTCTGATGCCTAAAACCATATGCTTTTTTTTTTTAATTTAATTTAAAGATGTATTCTATATCAATTAATGTTTTTTAATTTTAAGAAGCTAATTTTAGTCCTAATTTTTTTTAATTTTTTAAATATTTCCTTACTTATTTTAGTAATTATTTATAGAGATTAATTTTTTTGACAAATATTTTATTTCTTAAATTTTAGGGACAAACTATTTTTATTTAAATAAAGTTAAAAACTTTATTTTCTTAAAAATTGGGCCTTAGTTACTCTTTTAAATATTGGAAAATGATTTAAGAACCTCATGACAAAGAAATAAATTAACAAACTAATTTATTCAAATCCAAAGATATATTTAAAATTTAGAGGGTGTTACAATATGCATATTTTTTAAATCTGATTATGTTAATTAGCTTGTATAGACAACAAACACCATTCCCTTACAAAAGACAACTATATCCTTATTTCTTTGAGCCTGTGCTTACAGAATGTTGCACTTACCCTTTAAATAGGAACTTCACTGCCTGTGAGTCCAAAGCCATGCTGCCATTTAATTTCTTATTTTGCTATGAATTTTTGCACTTACCAATTGATTCATAATTAGGGAACTACTACAGTCATGGATAGTTATTTGAGAAATGCGGTTGCTTTCAAATAAGTAAACATTTCTGCCAAATTTGGTCGCTTATGTCTAATGTCCAGTCTATTCGAATGGAAGTGATGTGTCATTAGATTTGGGAGTTAGATCAAAGAGTATACGTATTTCTTTCTTTCTTTTTTGACTCTCCTTTATTATTTTATATAATTGTATAGGAGAAAATATGTTTTTTTTAATGTTATATGAGACAATCATTTCATTTTTTACTACGCTTAAAATTTAAACTCAAAATTTTCTTTGTTTTGTATACCCGCAATCATTTCATTCTTGACTATGCTTAAAATTTTCTTTGATATTGTATACCCTCAATCATTTCATTCTTGACTACGCTTAATTACGTATTCAGAAAACAAAAGGAAAGATATTATCTCACGAAAACGTACATATGAATGACACAAGACAATGATGTTTTCGTTTGTTCACAAGCGCATTCACCGTATTGTCCCTTTTTTAAATATAATATATTTAAATGTTATGGAATCAATTTTTTTAAACTGTTGTTACAGTATCATAATCGTTGAGGTAGTCAGTTACTATGAACTGGACACGTGTCATATCTTCAACAGCTAGAAACGCAACTCATTTAATCCAAAATCACAATACAAGGTAGCTATTTTAGTGCAACTAGGCCTGTAAATCGCTAAGAACGTGACACATGTTCCATCTATATAATTAACTGACTACCTCAGCAACTATATATATAGTGTCGTGGCAGTTTAATTTTTTTTTTCGATTCTATAACATTGAGGTATATTATATTTAAAAAAAGGGCATTACGATCCATGTCCTTATTCGTAAATGAAAGTACCATAATATTTCTTGTCATGTGTTCGTGCACATGCATGCATGTTTCTTTGTGGCTACAAAACATGCTATCGCATGCTTAAGCCTTCATAAAATAGGTAATCCAGCCTTAACAAGTCATGTATATCCATCAATCAAAAAAGAAAAGCGTCATGTATATCCCACTCGTTTTCAACGTGGTCTAAATTTAGAATTTTGTAATTTGACTTATATTCAACAATTAGAATATCTTTTTATCTTCAACTATATTGGAATATACTATAATTAATCATGTTTAATTTCTTTTATTTTTTACAGATTCCTTCAGTTGAGCTCAAGATTTTACACACGTGACTTGCTTAATATATTTTTGTTAATAAGTATTGTATAAAAAAAATTGACATGATGATTTATTTAATATTTAATAGTATTCCTATGATTATTGTGATAAAGTAATAATAGACAGAATTAATATTTACAAATAATTGCGGTAGCTAATTTAACTTCTCTTATAATTTTAGTTCAAAACAATGTTGTGGAGTCGGGGAAGCGTTACGATGCGATCGGTACCCTTCAAAATGTATACAATCTTTAAGAGTTAAGTATTATATATTTATACCTGATTTTTTTATCATAATCAATGATCGCCTCCTCTCAAAACTTAAAAAAAACCCTTTAATTACTATTATTATTTTAATTTTTTATAATTTAAATAGTTGTAATTTTAAAGAAAAATATAGGTTATAATTGGTCTCATAATTTTTTTTTCAGACTGCCACTGTTTCATAATCTTATGTTAAAATATAAGATTATTATAAAAAATATTGACTACAAAATTTGATTTGCTGGTGACAAACTTATGATATTTAACCAAGTGGATGAAAGTCAGATGAAAACACAAATTGAATAAATGGGGAGAGAATTTGGGTTTAATTACTGTCAAATACATATTTGGAGAAGAGAGAAGAGCTTTAACTGTGACTATGCTCTAACTTTGAATTAATCTCATAGAGAGCTCAAAGAGTTGAAGCTTATGTATATAATTGTAATTACATTTTCTACGCCACTAACACGTGGTTAAAATATAAATTGATCAATTTGTTTGCTCATCCAGTTATATGAGTTTCGGAATAGAAAATTTAATTGTATATATGATCTAATACAAATCAGTAATCAGATAACTCTACTATTACAGTTTGTAGACAATGGCACCAACTTGCATGTAGCCAGCAAGGAAAAAAAAATACCAAAAAAACAAAAAATGGGTTATGCAAATGCATATACATAAGCATAATCACAACAAAAATAAGTAAGTACAGTCATTTGATCTTTCATGTGTCTTGGAGAAACGCCATGATTTTCGGAGTATATATATATATATATCCTTCCCAATTCAAGCAATCAATTCGGTGCAACATCACTTTTCGAAGTTGTTCTCATTGAGGAAGACAATACCTTCTTCACATTTGAATGTTTGGTCTCCATGTGCTAAAGTGCCATTACATGAACTCTTTCCAACCAAGCTTTTTGCCTTCAAAGACTCTCTTTCCCAATCTGTGTTGTATACCACAACTAGAATTGAGACCACACATGCTATCTGCGCTGCAAGCAGCCCATAACATAGACCCACCAACCCTAGTCTCCAAAAAAATGCCAACACTATGGCCACTGGTGCTCCCACCAAGTAAAATGAGTAAAAATTTATCCCTGCCCCAACACCAGGTCTTGCACTTCCTCTAAGTATTCCACAGCTTGTTGTTTGTGGACAATTTGCTAGCTCACACACTCCAATTATTGGTAACACAGCCATGGTCAATTCTAACACCTCTTTGTCACTTGTGAACACTCTTCCCCATTTTTCCCTCCCTAATGTGGTCCACAACAAACCCAATATTGAGCTTGCAAGGGCCATTCCTATTGCTACTATAGTTGACAACCTTGCCCTTTCGGGTTGACCCGCCCCGAGTTCGTTCCCTACTCTAGTTGACACTGATGCACTTAGTGCTGTTGGCAATGTGTACATAAGTGAAGTGGTTTGTATCACTATGCCAGCAGTGGCTAGAGCAACACGAGGGTTATAAAGGTAACCTGCTAGAATTGTCATGAACTCGTACCACCACCACTCCAAGCACACACCTAGACAACTTTGTATAGAGAACCTAATTAGCATACCCCATTCTTTGCCTAGTGTTGTAGTAGTAGTAGTGGTATTATTATTATTAACACTAGTTGAATTTTGTGGTTGTGACAAGGGGCATGATATCAATAATGGCATAGACAGTGACTCTTTTGATGAGACGTGCATATAGAACATGTATGATAGAAGGAAGAAAAGGGTGTTGAAGTTTGCAACAAAAGATGAAATAGCAATCCCGGGTACACTAAGGTGAAGTTTGAAGGTCAAAAAAGTAACGAGTGGGATGTGTATAAGAGTGGAAAGTAAAGTGCACAACATTAGTGGCCAAGTTGTCCCTTTGCCACGTAAATAGATTCGAATTGGGTGAAGGAAGCTATTGGCAATGAGGTCAGGGATTGAGAAACGACAATAGAGGCTTGCCACTCGGGTTATATCAGGGTCTTGATGAAGACATAGCATGAAAGGTTCAAGCTTGAGCCACAAGAGACAAATGGGTAGTGAAGCTAGCAATAACATGAAAATTGTCCTTTGTAATGTGAGAGAGACCAAGGATAAGTTTCGTGAACCAAAAGCTTGGGTGCAAAGAGGGTCCATGCCCATGGCTAAACCTGATAGGACAGAGTAACCGGTTATGTTGGTGAATCCTATGGCTAAAGCACCACCAGCTAACTCGAGACTTCCCAACCTTCCCATGCACGCAACTAAGATCATGTTTTTAAGGTAACCCACAAGACTCATGGTTGCTATTGGGAAACCTATGTCTGCCATTCTCTTTATCTCGTCCACTACCTATCAAACAAAAAGCGTTAGTATATTATATATAAGTGGTGAACAAGTGATCAAAAAAAGAAAATCATGGGAAGAGTGGAAGGTTATGAAAGGGATTTGTAAGGTCTTGTACCTCAGCAGTTGTCGGGTATGTCTTTTGAGGTTTCTCCTCCGCAAGCATCTTTAAACGTTTAGTTTTGCTTTTCTTGTTTCCGTGTGTGGTTTGAGATATATATAACAAGGAGAAACACAATGAGAGAGTGAATGAGATAGTGGTGTGTGTTTTCTTCTACACAAAACACTCCTCCAAGTACAAAGGGAGAGGGGACCAGGAAGGAAGGAGAGAGAGGAGAGGGAAACAACAAAAGTGGGTGTGAGACTTGGAAGCAAGCAGAGAGACCTTTATATAAGGTTTGGAGGTGGTGGGGTACGTTTATATATGCGTTTGTTAGCATTGTTGGGCTTCTTTGAAAGTTGAAAAGCTATATTACACTATTAGTACAAGAATGATTCCAAAAGCCTAAACCAACGCCTTTGAAGTATACAGCTCTACGCACTGAGTTAAAGGGGCTACTTTTGATTCAATTCCTAAATCAGAAACCAGTCAATAGGAGTCTAGTACATAGACTTGTTATTGCATATACTTAATGATATAGTTATGTTATTTGAATTTATCTAGTACAATAATGTTAAGAATTATCTCAAAAGTTTATACTTAGAGAAGAAGGTCCAAGAACAATCATTATTAGTATTTCTAACATGGGAGAGAGGTCATGAAGAAATGGATTCAAATCCTTTTATATTACTCATCAATTAACACGTGACAATGTGATTTAACGAGAGAGAAAAACACAAAAACAAAATTAATAGATCCTATATAAATATTGATGGATCTTATAATTTTTTTTGTCTTTAGTTATCATGGCAAGATATTATTAATATATGGGAATTAATTTTCTCATTTTACATGAGAAAATTTTCTCATACTATTCACTCAATACATAAGTGGAGTTCACAAAAAAGTAAAAAACACAAAAAAATAAATATGGAATCTACCTTTTAATTGTGTGTGTAATATGAGAATCTTTTCTCATGTAAAATAAGAAAAGATTAACCCTTAATATATTAGTAAGTAATATGAGAGAATTCAAACCATCAAATTACATGATAACTATAACACATAATTAAACTGTGCGCCAATATTTTCAGCAGTGGACATACGTGAAACCCTTTTCTTTGGTAATGGTATTACTATGGAGCCTGCACATGTCACCTCATTCGAACTCAAGAATTGATATTCTCTTCTAATTAACCAATTTGTAAAAAACAATCTCAATCCAAAAGCTTAAGACGTTGTGTGAGTTTATATTAATAATTTTATATATCTTTAACACAAGTCCTTAATTAGAACATATTTGTCACTAGAATTGGGTAAGAAATAAGGAGCATTAAGAGATTGCATGTGGTTTTAAGTTTTAATTTATTTTTTTTGTAAAGGGAAAAAAATTAGTGTCATTATCTTTTGAAAAAAAAAAAAAAACTCAAAAAAAAATTAATCCATTTGAGTGGAGTATATATAAATGCGGAGTTCAAGCAAACAAAAATAACGAGTTACTCATTGATACGTATAACTCAAAACAGAATCTAAAAAATATATACCTAAGGGATATATATGAAAACTCTAGAATGTGCACTAGTGCTGCAAGAGTTAAAACTCAAATCCCTTATTTAAACCGTGCGATATATGTATTCATCAACTGATTCTCGAAACCCTCTTCTATACTTATCCTACTTTATCACTTTCCCAAATATGTAGAAGCATAGGCACCTTCTCTGCCCCGTAAGAAATGCATGTGTGTTGTATTACCAGAAATTTCATCTTCACGTTTAAAAAGAAGCTATAATTGTGCATGTGAGCCAGAACATTGCTATTATAGCCCTACTGAGGTCATGGTTGACGTATTTTGGGTCCTGATACAGTCCTCTGTGTATTTTGGGAAATAACACGTCTGGCTTCTTGCTATGTATAATTAATAGTGCTTTATTATTTGTTAAAAAACAAAAATAGTGCTTTATTATAATTTTTTTATATGTTTGTATTTACATTGATAAAAAAATCTCACATAGCATAACATGTGTTGAAGTCTATCTTTAAAGGAGGTTTTCTATATATATATATATATATATATATATATATATATATATATATATATATATATAGAGGTAAGATCTTTTGATACCAGTGTCAAATTTTAAATTTGACACCTCATCTGAGAGCCGTTAGATCAAAAAAGATCAACGACTCTGATTTGTAAGTATGTGACACCATTGATCTTTTTTGATCTAATGGCTATCAGATGAGTTGTCAAATTTGAAATTTGATACTGGTGTCAAAAATTTCTACCTTATATATATGTATATCAGCAAGTTATTCTTATATCGACGTAAGAATAAATAAATTTATACTTAATCTTGATTATTGATTTACTTATATCCCATAACTCGTGTAACAAAAAATTAGAATCGTCAAATATAAGTGAAATCAACCGCCAAGATTAAAGGTATAACTTACACACTCACACTGACACACACACACATATATATATAGAGTGAGAATCATTTTACACCTATGTAAATGATATTTTCAATCTTGACAGTTAATTTTGCTATATCTAATAAATTTAATTTTTTTAGTTATGTGAAATATTTAATACAAGTGGATTAATTAATGACAAGAAATAAGTATAAAATGTTTCCAAAAAAAAAAAAGGCATAAAACTTTTTATTCTTATAATATTATAAATATAACAAGATATATATATATGGAAAAATATTTCTCCGACAACTTGAGATAAGTTTATCTCCGGTCACCCCAAAACAACGTCGTTTTATTTAATTATTTTCTTATATTAATTGATTCACCTTTGAATAGTCATGATTCCTTTTTTCTCTCTCTTCTTTTATCACCATTGATCCATCTTTGTACGGTTATGATTTAGTAGCCGGAGATAAAATTATCTCAAGTAGCTTGAAAAACCATAAGCTCATATATATATATATATATATAGAAAAATATTACTCTCATGCACTCACAAATCAAGGGTGGAGCCCATTCTTTATTTATTCTCTCTCCTCTCTCTTCTAAGTTATGAGTGTACAAGAAAAGAATTATTTCATGTCACGTAAAAGTAATATTTCTATATATATATATATATATATATATATATATATATATATATATATAAATAAAGAGAGAGGGTGCTGGGAGTTTCGGAGAATCTTTCTATTAATGGCTTTTTATAATTTGCTAGTATAAGGTCACTTCAGTGAGTCATCGCGAGTAGGGCCTGCGAAACAAACAGCATTAGGGTTTTGGGGCCTTCGGTCCGCATCAGAAAACAGATTCTAATAAAATTAGATTGTATCGGAAGCAAAAAATTGCCTTTAATCACATGTATGCACCAAGATATTTTTGATATGAATCCAAAATCACAGAACTGCTCAAACCTCACTACCACCTTTCCGATTGGAGCACGCACCTTGTCCAAAAAAGTTACTACACCCAGCTTGTAATTTGTATATGTTAATATTGTCCCCCCCACACCCCTCGAGGGTTCTCCCCTTAGCTCCTCCATTTACGTGGTACGCTAGTATATACTTTTTATTGCAAAAAATTAAAATAAGCACTTTCTGTTCCATGCTGATCCTTTACACACATATTCCTTACGATTCAATACGACAGGTAAAGGTGGTTTTACACTAGTAAATCCATTATAGAACTTGGGCGGTTAGTGGAAATGTCAAGCATTTGATACACAAATATATTATATAGTTTAACTAAAGCATGTCATGCCTATTATAAGCTGCATGGCTAGCCACGTTTGCATCTTTTTTCACCTTTTATGACTATTTTGTTGAATGGTAACAAATTCGCTTGAAATTAGGCGTGCAAATGTGCTTTCAAACTTCATGACCACCGAATTAGAAGGCTCCTTTAGACCATCAACCCCCTTTGAAGACTCTTAACACTTTTATCATTCAATGTTACCCGTTACCACCCAAAAAGTGCTGGTCATCTTTGTCAAATATTGCGCCAAGACTTTTACCGATTACAAACACTAAATTTTATGCCCCTTCCAATAAGCCTTCCCTTTTTCTGAAAGAATTTTCCTTTTTCTATGTGACAGTTGTTTAGCTTCTTTTATTTCCTGTGCTAGCTATACGAATAGGATCTTTTATAGACTCCTTTATTAGAAATTAGTTCACATTAATGTGTAACTTGTTCATATATCTTGGTACATTGAGAAGTCTCATAACTACTTTCTAGATTGCTATTTAAATTTCTACTTACCTAACCATCCAAATACATTCAGATAATGGTGCCTTTCTCTTTGTCTCCGTGCTATGCTTAACATAAATCCTTAAATCATATAAGTCACTCAAATCCATTTATATTTGTATATATTATCCTCTTTATTAATTATGTCTTGAATTTATAAAAGAGAAGCAAAATGTGATGATGCGCATGTAAACAATTATTTCAACTCAAAAGCTTAACCTAATGAGTGATTGGGCACCTTTAATGCTAACACATCCACTCACGAAAATGCCCTTTAAGCTTGAAGCGTGAATATTGCACATACTTATTTTTTTTATTTTACCTTATGCTGACTTAATTCGACTAAAAAATAAGAGATAATAAAAATCGAACTCAGTGATCAAATTGTGCTAAACTTCTTATTTGTGCTTGGCTTTATATTTAACATCTACTGATATTCTTTCTCTGTATGTTTGTGCCTTGCGTGTTGTGTTAAATAGTGTGTGTGCGTTTATATCACTTAATTTACCGGATGAATTAATATTACATACTAACTGTTACTTGTTGTCACACTTAAATGGAACCGTGCATGTGCAATCTAGCTAGTTGCACCAAATGCCCATGGGAACCATCCTTATGATCCCCACACTAAATAATATTGTCGGCAGTTTTCATGTCTGTCAACTTTTATCTATAATATCAAATTAAGATGGGATTTAATACCTTCCTATAAGCCAATCTGATGTTAACATTTATTATGCAGTGTGGTTGTTAAGAAGGAATGATAACGTATCCAAATGTCACATCCCTCATGTTGTTGAATATAAAGTTGTACTGAATGGGTTAACCTTCGGTCCCAAATT